CCCCAGCCCTTTTTTATATTTTATTTAGAGATAGTGTCTCGCTGTGTTGTCTTGCTAAATTGCTGAGGCTGGCTTTGAACTTGCAGTCTTCCTGCTTCAGCTTCCTGAGCCTCTGGGATTACAGGCAAGTGTTACTACACCCAGCTCTTTTTGGAATAATGGGGTGTCCAGAGGCCATCTGCTAAAAAGATGCCTGTGGGGCTGGGGAATGTAGTGGTGGAGCACTTGCCTAGCATGTGTGAGGCCCTAGGTTCCATCCCCAGCACTGGAAAAAAATAAAATTAAAAGGCACCAATGAGAAACTTGCCTGTACCCCTACAAAGGATCTAATAGGCTGGGAGGAATCCTCAGGGAAGGAGCCAGTGTTCTGGGGTTTTGTAAACTATTTAGCAGGGGTGGGAACCTCTCAGGAGGATTCTAGGGAAACTCAAAAGAGAATGCAGAAATGAGAAAGGAGGACAATTAAACCCTGAGAAAAATGATTGCCTGACACAGAGGCTCATACCTGGCCACCAGATACTTGGGAGGCTGAGGCAGGAGGATCACAAGTTCAAGGCCAGCCTGGGTAACTTAGTGAGACCCTATCTCAAAATAAAAAGGGCTGGGGATGTAGTTCAGTTGTAGAGTACTCCTCCAGTACAGGGCGGGGGCGGAGGGGAATAGGAAAATGTGATTAATTCAGAGGCGGAAACTTATGAGTGTTTAGTAGTAAGGGGAGCCTTCTGAATCAAACAGACCTTAGGAGCTGGGGCTGCAGCTCAGTGATAGAACGCTTGCCTAGGATATGTGAGTCACTGGGTTCCATCCTCAGCACCACATAAAAATAAATAAGTAAAATAAAGGTATTGTTTCCATCTACAATCAAATATATTAAAAACAAAACAGATCTTAGGGCAAGTAAATTAGCTTTCTGAGCCTGTAAAGGGAAATAATTCCTGAGCCTCTTTGTCAGGGTCAAAGTCACAGGAGATAAATAGCAATCTCCCAGGAAGTTTATAAGGATAAGCAAGTTATAGGAGTTGTTACAACATTTATGAGCATGTCCCCACTGAATTTCATTCCTTATCCCATATGCAAAAAAAAAAAAAAAGAAAGAAAGAAAATTCAGCCAGGTGCAGTGTCACACTTCTGTAATCTCAGCTACTCAGGAGGCTAAGGCAGGAGATTCACAAGTTCAAGGCCAGCCTGGGCAACTTAGTGAGACTTTATCTCAAAATAAACAGGGCCAGGGATGTAGCTCAGTGGCAGAATACCGCTGGGTTCAATCCCCAGTACCACCACCCCAAAATAAATAAATAAATAAATAAATTTGAATCCCTAGGCTTGGTTTCCTTTAGAAAAATTACAAGCCATAACAAGCTCTCTTTTGATATCTCATTCTTTCTCTTTCTTTCTTTCTTTTCTTTTCTTCTTTTGAGACAGGGTCTCCCTGTGTTGCCCAGGCTGGTCTGGAATTCCTGGGCTCCAGCAGTCCTCTTGCTTCAGCCTTCCAAGTATCTGAGACTCCAGGTATGAGTCCTGTGCCTACACTTGCTATCTCTCTTGTTTTTTTTTTTTTGTTTATTTGTTTGTTTGTTTGTTTGTTTTTGGTACTAGGGATTGAACCCAGGGGTGCTTTACCATGGAGCTATATCCCAAGCCCTTTTCATTTTTTATTTTGAGACAGAGACTAAGTTGCTTAGGGCCTTGCTACATTGCTGAGGCTAGGAACTTGGGATCCTCCTGCCTCAGCCTCCAGAGTCCCTGGGATTACAGGCAAGCACCACCACACAAACCATCTCTCTTTATCCGCTTGGAAGTAGTCCTTCTTTCCTAACAGGCCTGGAAATAGTCACCAGTAAGTCATCTCTTCCCCAAAGGGACTTAGCTTAAATTACCTGCAGAGTTAAAGATCAGTGTTGGCTTCCAAACTCTCCTAACCGCAGTGTCCCCATCTGCCAACATTTCCAAGACAGACTTCCTAGCCTTCCCACCTGACTGCAGAAATCTCAGATCTCTCCTGTCCCTGCCACCCAAGGCTATAGTACTGTGTTGCCCTGAGGACAGATCACACCCTATTTTTCTGCTTCTGTTTTGTGGAGCTTCCATAAGCTCCTTGCCCAGCTCACAGGGTTCCCAGGAGGGTCGAGTGAGCTGATGGACATAACATGATCAGAGCACTGTGGACACATAACAAATGCCATATATAGTTTGCTTTTTTATTTGGCTCCTTTGTGTGCTGCATTATTTTTTCCCTTTTTTCTTTTGATCTCTTTGGAGCAGAGCTGTCTGTTCTTGCCTTCTTCTAGTAGGCATTGAGTAAGTAATCCTTCTATGGGATCCTTTACTTTTTTTTTCTTCTATATTTGTGTGTGTGTGTTGCTGGGTTGGAAACCAGCCTAGAGCATGCTGGACAATTGCCTTACCACTGAGCACACCCGGATCCAGTGTCTTTGATCTTGATTTGGCATAGGTATCTCATGCGATCTGACAAACAGTCTATCTAATTTGTCCTGGTTTCTTCCTCTAATTCATGCATCGCCTCATACCAGAATAGATTTCCACCCTAACCTTGGCCAACCAGACAGGCTTTGGTCAAGATGAGACAGGGCAGCTAGGGCCTGGCCTTTGGCCTGCTAGACAGTTCAGAAAGGATAACTACACAGGCCACAATGCTTTCCAGTGGGTATGGCTCAGAACATGCCTAGGCTCACCACCACCATCTCCCCCAGATGCCCATTAGCCACATGGGTGCAGATCTTATGGTTTCTTCTAGTGCCTGCTAGGCCATGGCACCAGGAACTGTTAAATTAAGTGAAGGGGCTAGTACACCTTGGTGGTAGCAGCTCATCTAACACGTACAGGCCCTGGGTTCAATCCCAAGTACTGGGAGGGGAAAAAAGCCTGAGAGATAAACAGGACAGGTACTCTATAAACACAGACCTGTGCAGTACCCAGAGAATACAGAGGCTGCTTCTACTATGGGCAGTGGGAAGCTACTAGATAAAAAGTATATTTAAGGGGCTGGAGTTATGGCTCAGTGGTGGAGTGCTTGCCTAGCATGTGTGAGGCACTGGGTTTGATTCTCAGCACCGCATATAAATAAATAAATAAAGGTCCATGAATATCTAAAATTTAAAAAATTTTAAAAAGTGTATTTAAATTTATTTTGAGCAGGTGAAATATTCCTTTTTAAAATATCTTTATTTTATTTTTAATGTGGTGCTGAGGATTGAACCCTGTGCCTCATGCATGCTAGGCGAGTGCTCTACCACTGAGCCACAACCCCAGCCCCAGGTGAAACATTCCTATAGTTTAAAAGTAAGAAGAATTTTTTCCTAAAATCAGGAACAAGACAAGGATACCTGCTCCCACCACTCTTATAGGTGTCCTCACCAGAGCAAGTAGACAAGATGAAGAGATATAAGACATCCTAATTGAAAAAGAAGAAATAAAATTATCTCTGTTCACAGACAACATGATCTTCTATGAAAATAACTCTTTTAAAGATGCCACAGAAAGTGCTGGGGGTGTAGCTCCATGGTAGGTCTCCAGCCTACCAAGGGCCTGGGTTTCATCTCCAGCACTGAAAAAAAGATTCCCAACCACTTCTTTGCAGAAATAAACAGTTTATCCTAAAATTCATATGGACCCTCAAGGGATCCCAAATAGCCAAAACAATCTTGAAAAAGGAGCAACGTTGGAGGTCTCACACTTCCCATCCATCCAGGTCCTCTCCTTTCTGACAGTTTGGACTTCTGCGGTATCCTGCTAGAAACATTAAGCATATACAAGGAAGTGTGCCTCTATATTTTCTCCACAAAGTGTAACACCGCTCACTCAGGTCTACACCTCTGCTTTTGCTCAATAAATGTGTCCTATAGCACATTCTGGAGTAGATGACTTTGTAATCAGTCCAGGATGGTCAGGATTTCCACAGGCAGAGGCAGAGGAAGGGAGAGAAGTTGGCTGAGACAGGTGTGGAATGGGGGGAGGTTGAAATAGGGCCAAGATAGAGGCTTGGAGTAGCCTTTGAATGAAAGAAGCTATATTTATAGCAGTAAGAAACCTGGAGGCCATTAAGCCTGGGAGTGGCAGGATTAAAGTTGTAATTTGGGCAGAGGACTCTTCAGTTATTTCACGGGAGTGGGGGCAGGAGATTGACAGGAGGGCTGGGCAGGAATGGGGGGAGGGCAGGGAGGGGAGGAAGCAGTAAATTTATATCTCTTATTCAGACTTCTAGGCTGGTTATTAGTTTACATGAATCGTGAAGTTAATATTTTGGTCATGGGCTGGGGATGTGGCTCAAGCGGTAGCGCGCTCGCCTGGCATGCGTGCGGCCCGGGTTCGATCCTCAGCACCACATACAAACAAAGATGTTGTGACCGCCGAGAACTAAAAAATAAATATTAAAAAAAAAAAAAAATATTTCGGTCATTCACCATCCTCCACTTGTCCTAGATTATGAGTGTGTTGGTGTGAAGTGTATTGTTTACAGACTCTCCTAGGTAGAGGATTTAAAAAAAAATATTTTGTAGTTGTGGTTGGACACAATACCTTCATTTTATTTATTTTTATATGGTGCTGAGGATCAAATCCAGGCCCTCGCAAGTGCTAGGCAAGCACTCTACCGCCGAGCCACAGCCCCAGGCCCTAGCTAGAGGATTTAATGACTGGTTTTGAAGTATCTGGAATGAACCAGAAATACCTAGAAAGCTTAAAAAGATGACTGGTCTGCCTGTAAGTAGGAAGACTTCAGAGGTCCATCTTGGTGATGTCACTTCTGCCATTTCATACAAATCCCTTCTCCTTTTTGAGTCTTCTCACATTTATTTCTTACTCAAGAAACTTCTTTTTTCCTTTTTTTGCATCATCGATAGCTTCGGAGCCCAGGTTCTGAATAGGTAGCCAGGTGTTCTACCCCTGAGCCACAGCCCAGCCCAAGAAGCTTTTTTTCTTTCTTTCTTTTTTTTTTGGGGGGGGGAAGGGTTACCAGGGGTTGAACTCAGGGGCATCCCCAGCCCTATTTTCATATTTTATTTAGAGACAGGGTCTCACTGAGTTGCTCAAGGCCTTGCTAAGTTGCTGAGATTGACTTTGATGTCACCATCCTCCTGCCTCAGCCTCCTGAGCCGCTGGGAATATAGGTGAGGGCCACCATGCCCAGCTGGTGTTTTTTTGTTTTGTTTTGTTTTGAGAGAGAGAATTTTAAAATATTTTTTAATATTTATTTTTTAGTTTTTGGTGGACACAACATCTTTGTATGTGATGCTGGGGATCGAACCTGGGCCGCACGCATGCCAGGCGAGCGCGCTACCGCTTGAGCACATCCCCAGCCCATCCAGCTGTTTTTTTGTTTTTCTTTTTCTTTTGAGACAGGGTCTTGCTAAGTTGCTGAGGCTGTCCTCAGACTTGTGATCCTCCTGCCTCAGCCTCCCAAGTCAGTAGGATTACAGGGATTATAGGCATGTGCCGCCATGCCTGGCTTCATATAAATTTTATGTGACACATGGGCCTTTATTAATGAAGACCCAAAGAAACAGGAGAATCTGTGGGGGTTTGTTTGTTTGTGGTATTGGGGATGGAACCCAGGGCCTCATACAGGCTAGAGAAGCACTCTACCATGGAGTTATAGTCCGGCCCTAGAATCTGTGTGTGATGCTAACCTGGGTGAGGTGGGTGGTCATGGAGAGGCCTGGCTGATCAGAGGGAAAGACCAAAAGCTTATAAACTGGTGAGACTGAGCAAGGGCGGTTTGTTCTGGGTCTTCCCTGAGTCTCTGTGTCTTCAGAGTTCAGAACATTTTTTTCCTCCCAGTACAGGGAGGACACTTCTGGAATGAGTCTTGTGACCTCTGCAGGGGAAGTTCAGGAGCTTTTACAGCACACTTCAGGAGAGAGGGGGGTCAGAATTCCTTCCAGTTTTCATGGCCTGCTTCAGCAGAGAAGGGGGTGCCAAGGTGCCACATTTCAGGTGGGGTGTCCTGAACCCCACCCTGTGGGCCCACATGTACAGAGCAAAACGTAGAATAGGGCCCCACAACATGCCGCCCTGCAGCCGTCCGTGGTGGGAAGCCAGGGAGACCCTCTGAGGACGGGCTGTTGGAGCCCAGGGCTGTGATTCTTCGAGGCGGCTGAAGGAAGGGTGACCTGGGCTCTGGAAGGAGCAGACTCAAGGTCCCCCAGGGAGCAAACGGGGTTGGAAGGTTCCCACAGGAGAAGGGAGGCCAGTGGGGCAGGCATGGCGGGCATCAGGGAAGGCGAGGCAGGGAGGTGGCAAAGCAAACTGCAGGACCTTGTGGGTCACTGCAAGGGAGGACATTGGCTTCTACCCAAGGTGGGGTGAGAGCTGTGAAGGGTTTTGAGGTAAGAGGGTGGCACTCTGCCTCAGGGGCTCTGATGCCCTCCTGCAGTTGTCTGGGACATTGGGGGTGAGGGCAGGAGGTAGTGGCCCAGTGGGGGAGATGAGGGGTCTGGGCCAGTGTGGGCCATG